ACTTTCTAGTCCTGCAGGACCGCCGCCGGTTCAGTGGCTGAAGAGCGATCCACTTTACTCGGTCGAGCGCATACTGGATTATCGTGCCCGCCGCCTAGGAAGACGCCGTAAGGGGCTGGTGCACGAGTACCTCGTCAAATGGACCGGGTATTCCAATGAACATAATAGCTGGGAGCCAGAGAAAAACTTTACGCCCGACCTTCGCCCCGAACTTCAAGCAGTTAAGGCTCGTGCCACTAACGCTGCGAGGACGCTGCGTCCTGAGGGGGGATAGTTGTTGTGGTACACTTGCATATTAACCCTCGGATCTTTCCCCAATTCTCTGGCACTTTGCCGCTTCGCTCTTATTTGGTTAACCATTGGGCACTTGCCTATCTCTTGGGCGCTGGCCCACCTTTAAGCGGGCACTTGCCTGTCTTTATCACGCGTGAAACTGGATTATAGCGCTCTTGCTATAATCGTGACACTTGTCACTGGTAGACCCACTTGGGTTACGATTGCACCGATTGGTGATAATTCGCGTTGACGACTATATCTTCGGACCGTACAGACTTCTGTACGGGTCGTCCTAACGCAGAGGCATTTAGCCTCTTCTCATTCACTAATCGGTAGTTTTCACTACCACCTAAACAGTGGAGGTGGATACAACAGTTCTATGGATACCTTTTTTGGTCACAGAGTTAATACGCTACCAATGTAACAGTCTACTGTTTCTCTACTTGTCAGTCCCTTATGTCCGGTCCAATTCGCCGTTTACAACACTGCATGTACATTGCGACATGCGCTAAACGACCTGTAAACAGCTTCGACTAAACTGCTTCGAAGCTAATCTCACATTCCATTATGCCACTGCACTGCTTTACTCTCCAGCCTGGCCACAACCTTTTCCGTGCAAACGTACTTGAGCACCTTACAATCCAACACCATACGGGCTTTGAAAACGCGGGCAGCTGCTTCACAAGGACCCCCCTCTTTAAGCAGCCCCTCGTTAAGCAGCCCCTCGCACAAATGTGTCCGGTCGTACTGTGCCGAATAAAGTCTACGTACATGTCGGCCCAAAAGTCAGGAGCGAATTTTACCGCGCAGATGCGCGCGTGCGATTCTCAAAATGCGCCTGTACAAGTGTATATAAATTTTCTTGGTGGAAAAGGACCAGGTGCGCCAGCGCGTTGCGCAGGTGGGCATGTTGGCCATAGCCGCACGCGGCATGCAGGCTGGACTATTGCACCGAAAGCCAACGTCGTAGCTTGCAACTCTGGGCTCGTGAAACTGCCGCGGAAGATGAAGCGCTGGCGAAGAGGCAGTTGTATGCAGCACCTTGTTCAGAGTAAAGTCAAATTACAAAGTTGCGCAAAGTATAACATACATAAACTTAATTAAACATAAGAACAGATAAGACGTTTAGAGCCTTGTCGGTGACATGGACGCCGCTGTTGGCTTGGAACAGCTATTTGCTGTGCATAGGGACGTGCCCGCGTTAGCCGTGTTGCAACAGCTCAGGATGGATTTCAGCCAGCAACAGCCTCAAGAGCTGCTGCACAACCACCGGGAATGTCTTCAGTTGGGCACGTGTAGTTTTGGTCGGCGGGGTCGAGCATCGTACGCATTGCGCACAGAAACCAAGGTCCAGCGTTCTGTCACATCGCCAACATATCCGGTACGCGGTGGCAGGCTTGCCGAGCACGAAATGAAGGGGGGGGTCGCATCTCACCATTCAACTAAGCATGCATGTGCTCGGTTGAATGCACGCTACCGAGCTACCAAGTTTACCCCTATCAGGATGTTTGTTTGCATATCCCCCCAAGCGAGAGGGCTTGCACCTATGCTGATGTTCGTTCCAAGAAGTGAACTGAGGACTGATGCTACGGTGAAAGATTTGCACGTAAACTCGCCCGTGCAATAAAACGCCCTGTAACTCGCTTACGCTAATCCCACATTCCAATATGCCACTGCACTTTCCTCTCCAACCTGGCCACATTCTCTTCCTCGCAAACGTACTTGGGCACCTTACAATCCAACACCATACGGGCTTTGGAAACGCGGGCAGCTGCTTCACAAGGACCCCCCTAGCAGCCCCTCGTTAAGCAGCCCCTCGCACAAATGTGTCCGGTCGTACTGTGCCGAATAAAGTCTACGTACATGTCGGCCCAAAAGTCAGGAGCGAATTTTACCGCGCAGATGCGCGCGTGCGATTCTCAAAATGCGCCTGTACAAGTGTATATAAATTTTCTTGGTGGAAAAGGACCAGGTGCGCCAGCGCGTTGCGCAGGTGGGCATGTTGGCCATAGCCGCACGCGGCATGCAGGCTGGACTATTGCACCGAAAGCCAACGTCGTAGCTTGCAACTCTGGGCTCGTGAAACTGCCGCGGAAGATGAAGCGCTGGCGAAGAGGCAGTTGTATGCAGCACCTTGTTCAGAGTAAAGTCAAATTACAAAGTTGCGCAAAGTATAACATACATAAACTTAATTAAACATAAGAACAGATAAGACGTTTAGAGCCTTGTCGGTGACATGGACGCCGCTGTTGGCTTGGAACAGCTATTTGCTGTGCATAGGGACGTGCCCGCGTTAGCCGTGTTGCAACAGCTCAGGATGGATTTCAGCCAGCAACAGCCTCAAGAGCTGCTGCACAACCACCGGGAATGTCTTCAGTTGGGCACGTGTAGTTTTGGTCGGCGGGGTCGAGCATCGTACGCATTGCGCACAGAAACCAAGGTCCAGCGTTCTGTCACATCGCCAACATATCCGGTACGCGGTGGCAGGCTTGCCGAGCACGAAATGAAGGGGGGGGTCGCATCTCACCATTCAACTAAGCATGCATGTGCTCGGTTGAATGCACGCTACCGAGCTACCAAGTTTACCCCTATCAGGATGTTTGTTTGCATATCCCCCCAAGCGAGAGGGCTTGCACCTATGCTGATGTTCGTTCCAAGAAGTGAACTGAGGACTGATGCTACGGTGAAAGATTTGCACGTAAACTCGCCCGTGCAATAAAACGCCCTGTAACTCGCTTACGCTAATCCCACATTCCAATATGCCACTGCACTTTCCTCTCCAACCTGGCCACATTCTCTTCCTCGCAAACGTACTTGGGCACCTTACAATCCAACACCATACGTGCTTTGGAAACGCGGGCAGCTGCTTCACAAGGACCCCCCTATTTAATCGCACAAATGTGTCCGGTCGTACTTCGCGAATAAAGTGTTCGTACATCGTCCTAAAAATCAGGAGCGAATTATGCCGCGCAGATGCGCGCGTGCGATTCACAAATTACGCGTGTACAAGTGTATATATTTTGTTGGCGAAAAGGCCGAGGTGCACCAGCGCGTTGCGCAGGTGGGCATGTTAGAAACAGCCGCACGCGGAATGCAGGCCGGACTATTGCGTGGCTGCTTTGCAGTAACAAAAGCACCGAAAGCCAACGTCGTAGCTTGCAACTCTGGGCTCGTGAAACTGCCGCGGAAGATGAAGCGCTGGCGAAGAGGCATTTCTGAAGTCAAAGAGCCCGCCACCGGATTAGTTGGGGCGAGCATCCGTATGATGCGAAGGGCTCACTTACAACCTTTGTAACGCTCTCAGCCTAAGCGAGCCCCACGCACCACGCACGAACGAATTTAGGCCCTTTTCGGTGATATCCAAATTTTTTGGAAGCACGATCGCGTCCCGTTTTATTGTAATAATTGTCCGGGTTCCTGAATCAAGGACTTATCACGAGTATCCGTTAGCATTATGTTTCCTCTCGTACCTGGCGGCTTGCCGTGGGGCCAAGACCCGCCTACTTCGCCTCCTCATCGATTCGTTACCGTTACGCCTGTGCGTGACGATCTCATCGTCCCGCCGTTACACCTGCCGCTTGTACGTTTGGTTTGTTTTCGATGGATGTCCGACCGCTTAGTGGCTATACTATCACCGCAGGTCTTTCCTGGTAATTCTCTCCCTGCCATGCCTCCGCTTGCTGCGGGCCCTATCCATCTCCCGAGGTCTGTGCCGCCGCCTTTGGACCCTGTCGCGGCTCTGTATTACTCTGAGTTTACCGGGGACGTGTCAGTGCGGCCGCCGCTCACAGCCGCCTTGCTCTCCATCTACCAGGTGCACCAACGTCAGTGGGTCTCTGAAGGCGGGTTCAAAGTGCTGCACGAGAATTTCATGCCTGGTTGCAGCGCCAGTCTCTCGGGCTCACCTTGCTCACCTGTAATCCTATGTCCATTGTTTCGTATCTGAAGATGTTGTAGCGCCTTATAGCGTTACAGAGCCAAATCGCAAAGCGATGAAGACGTGATTTGATTAAGACTGATCTATGAACAGTCTATGAATACTTTAAGATTAGTAAGTGTTTCCTAATTAAGGATTGACACTCTTTCAGGGTTCCTACCCTAACCGAACAGACACCCCGGTCTAACCAGCCGTCAGGTGGTCCAAAGGGACACTCCATGACAGAAGTCGTTGCGGCAGGGAACGAGCCGAAACGGAAACCTGCGTAAACGGAAACCTGCGTAAATAGGTTTCGTCACGCTTTCCGCAGCGAAGCCCAGATTGGCGGAAATGCGGAAAGAGAATCCGCATTTCCGCATTTGCTATACGGCGGAAATTCAAAAGCAGATTCCAGGCATGCGTTTGCCATTTAAAGACTGCGTTTTACACTAAGGAGTTATTAGATTAAGTCAAATGTCAACAACCACTGGGTCCGACCTGGGGGGTGCCGAAGTCATAGAGATTGACTGTGTTTCTGCTCAGAAGAAGGGTGGAAGGCCAGTTGACGACGTTTTGAAACATTTTGATAGAGGTACTTACGACAAAAGCAAGAATTGCTATGCCACCTGCAAGGGCTGCCGTCGCCACTGGAAACGGGCGCGCCTTCCTGAAATCCGGTTACACCTTGCCAAGGAGTGCACTGCCATTGCGCCTGAGGTCAGCGCGTTTTACAAGGCCTTGTTAGCTAAGGATGCAGCTGCATCCTCTTCTGAGGTCGTCACGGCCAAGCGGGCCTGCTCAGGCCTGGGGTCTCAGGGTTCAAAGAGAGGCGGGCTGCTTTAAGGGGGCAGGGTGAACACCGTCAAGGGTGTGGGCACACAATAGTTGATCGCTTGGCCCCCGCCACCCACAGTAATACGTTTAGATGGCTCTACCTTCGAGCACGATTGGAATCAACCAGATTCTAGATCCCACCGGACAGAACCGCACTGCCACAAGCTGGTTTCAGACTGTCCAAGTTATCGCCACACTGAGAAGAGCTAAAAAACATCGTTACATATTCATTTTATAGTTTTCGCAGCTTTCCGCAGTTTCCGCAGCCTTTCCGCAAAGGGCCTCCCGATTACGAAAAGTTTACGCAGACCTGCCCTACCACATAGACTTGCCCGGTTATCGGGCAATTGTGGCCGTTAATGGGGTACGCGGAGACCGGTTACCAGGTGGATGGTTACCGGGGGTCGTTAATGGGGGTGGTTACGATTGGGTTACCAGGTTGATCGTTACTGGGCAGTAACCGGGGCTGGTTACCGGTTTGAAGACTATCGTTTTTCGCATTAATTCACAGCAGCAAGGACAGCCCTCTATGGCCGGTACTCAGCTCAGTGTCTTTTTTTAAAGTAATATATTCCTTAAAAGTAATAAACAGGCCATTTTGGCGTTTGGAAAAAAGGAATTAACTGAGGCCGATCCTCAAAGCCCTCAGCACTCCTCCTCTGGCGATCTAAGTGATGCCCAGCACTGTGCTGCGTAAGCATGATGCTGCGTTTGCGGCGGTCCTGGATGATGTCCATGCCGAGGTAGTAGCGCGCCTCTCCAAGGTCTCGTACTGCGAAGCAACCAGCTATGGCCGCCTTGGCGGCCGCGACCAATTGCAGGTTGTGTGCCGC